TCCTCCGCGGGGTATGTTCCAGCCCCGCCTGGACAAGGTCCTGTGCAGCCTGCTCTGGGTGACCCTGCTTCAGCAGGGGTTTGGGCTGGATGACCCACAGAGGGCCCTTCCAACCCCTGCCATGCTGGGATTCTGTGAGTCTGTGAACCCAGTGGCAGGAGTCTGGTGATCATGGAGATGTTTTCTTTTGGGTGGAATAATGGGAGTTGTAGCCTGGTTTTAGTTGGTTTTATTTCCAGGTTTACATGTGGTAGCAGTGTGCTGCGATGCTTGTGTTGCAGGGGCTGCAGAGTAGCATTGGTATGCCAGGAGAAAGGTTTGCAATACAGTATTAAAAGCAGGCTGGATGAAAAGATTTATACTAGCCCTAGAGTTCACAAAACCTGTTTTTACTGCATTGGTATTTTGAGCCAGATTTGAGGGGATGCAAGCAGAATAAATCACAAGTGGAACAGAGGGTTGATTTGTATCAGGAGGGCCAATCTGAGGCAGATTTACCCTGCTACCATCTTAAAAATAAATAAGAACATACAAGCCAAATTGTCTTTGTGGGAAAGCGAAGTCGAGTTCACGCTACTCGCGGCTTCGCTGTCTCTATATTTTATTCAGTGGCTGCTAGTGCATATCCAAAGAGCAACCAAAAGTACATTTGAGGCAGTGTGTTGCTAAAACCCTTCCAAGGCTGGAAGCAAATAAAAAAAAAATAAAAATATTAGATGCACAAAACATCTTGAACGGCCCAGAAGCCTCCGTGCAGGCGGAGGGAGGCTTTGAGGGCTGGAGCAAGAGGCTGGGTGAGAGCAGGGAGGGTCCCTCCTGCAGCCCGGGCCACCCCGGGGACACCTTTCTGACAGCAGCTTGGGTATCATCGGGGCAGGGGATGTGGAATTCTGTGTTTTCTGGGTTCCCAGCACACAAAAGATTGGAGAAGCAAGCCCTTGCGTTGCTGTCAGAAGGGCTGGTGCTACAGCAGGGGTTGTTCAGCAATATTCGGCGCACCTGGGGAGCTATTTACGGTGAAGATCACCCATAATTGAGGTTACCTGACAAGTCTCGGCATAACACTTTGTCTTCCTCGGTTTATAACTTCAGCACACTTCAACCACTCGAGCTGAAACGTGCTATGCTGGTGACTGCCTCTGGTGGAGTTGTTCACAGAAGTTCCTGGCCAAAGAGGGGTTTTTTAAGTAAGGGAAATAAGATTTTGTTTCACCCACGTTAAAATCTTGCGGCTGCTAAATCGGTGTGCTTGGTAGGGCCAGATACACCTCGTGGCATGAGTTCTTGCTGAAGTTACGTCCTGAAGTCTGTCTGTCCATCGTTTATGGTGCTGGCTTGGCAATACTATGTATATTTGTGAGATACTAATTAAAGTAGTAATCTTAACACTGGGTAGTAGTAAACAAAGCTACTAATGGCGTTGTGTTGATGTAGCTACTTTTATCAGCTAACTTCTGATCCCACCATTGAGCGAAGACAGTTTTGAATATTGATTTTTTGTTGTTCTCTTTTGTGGAATTTTTTCACAGTGAAATAGTGTGTTAATTAACGAGCCAATCTTTATTTATTTACTTATCCAGTCTTGCGTCACATTTTCAGTGCTTCTGGCCAAGAGCAACGTCAAGCCAATTGACTCGTAATTATGTAGGTTATAATAATTAGCTACCAGCACGACCACAGCTCTCCCTCCCTTTGGAGCTTCGCTGGTGTTACTGGATTCAAGATGGAGCAGAGCAGACCTGGAGGCACGCACGTACCCTCCCACGTCCACGGTCTAGCAGGGGGTCTGCTCGCTCTGCCTGAGGATCTCCCATCTCCCACCTTCCTTTCCCCCGTGCCTTGGGAAATGGGAGTCGGAGGAGCTGGCCGCTGAATCCTCCCTTCTGTGTGATCCCAGCATCCATCCCCGGCAGGAGCTGTGTGATTCCTCGTGTAGCCCCGTGGGAACGTCCTCGCTGGAAACCTGCGCAGCAGTTTCTGCCTCTGTTTCTTCTATGCCCGTGGCACCACGCGCAGCATCGCTGTGGTCTGCGCAGCATCGCTGTGGTCTGCACAGCATCGAGCTGAAATGGTGTTGGAATTACCACCCAGCCTTTGGAGAAGGCCAGGGAGCTTTTGCCACGAGGGCATCATCTTAAAATAAATTGCAGACACTTGAAATCGCAGGGTATCGGGTTCTTCTCCGTGGCCCTGTTAGCTGAATTAAATGGTGTTCTGCCGTTGAAAGTTTTATGGCTTCGTTAATCCTTTTGTATTAGGGAAGGCCTTTTGCATGGAAGTGAGGGACAGAAGTGTATATAATTTGTAGCTTCCCATTTTTACTTTTTTCTTAGAAACTCCATGGGATTCGTGTAACGCAACAAGCAATTACCATGTTTTAGAAAGCTTGTTTGGAAGCAGAATCATTGTACTTTTTCACCTGCACAATCCCAAAATGTCAGGGTGTTGCAGTGAACTGTTTTT